TTGATCCATTGAAGCGGACCGTCGAGGGAGCTATTCAAGCTCCCTGCAAATCGAATTTCGACTAAAATTAAAATTCCATCGCAAATCATCGAAGAATTAGAGAATCATATGCCCTTCACTACTAGAGCTCGTATTTGATTTAATATAAACAGCAGGTGTAACTAAGTACCTATGGGGCCACTTTTCTGTTCGCTCCAAAAATCTATCAAGTCTTTCATGCTGTTAACAACATCGGCTATCTGTCGACAGCAGACAAATATGAGAAAACATGCAAAAAAACCTTTGACAGTTTGTAAGGACAAGAAACATCCAAGGTTTGCAACGAGTGAAAACATGCCTGTAGCGTGCGAACATATCTTTTGGGAAAGCCAAGATCGTTTAGTGACTGTGACTCCAAACTTCTAGCAAGCTGGCGCCCTGCTGTTACAACCCTGCAATGGGATAGACATAAAATTAATAGAATGGTAAGTTAAATTTATTCAAACATATATCTCACAAAGTAAAAAATAAATATCATAAATAGAACCCAAATTATAAATATTCAGCTAGACGGTGATGCGAAATATACAGCTGATAAATTTACACTCACATAGCACTGTTTGCCTGTAAATCTGACTGAGAGACACCATCAGCTCCACTTTGAGATATTGTGCTTTGGCACTTCTGGGCAACCTGCAGTAACTGGTTGACCTGCAGTACAAATCCATTCTATAAATCCCAAGGCCAATACGTAACAGTGTATCTAAATATGCACTAAAATGCTCCACGAGTCTTGTGCAATAGTTTTCTCCCTTTCCTAAACCCATATCCAATTTTTGAGATTTCTATATGATGATACTCAAATGCTCAAGTAGGATGGAAAAATAATGTGCAGATACATCAACATTGTTAAATAGGTAAATTACAAATAACCCCACTAGGCATAATGGATTACAAAAATCTCCTTTCTTTTCGAAATCACAATTTTCACTGTCAAATAGCTTATGATTGTTTAACAAGAAAAATACGTTAGAAATCGGGAAGATCATTTATTATTAGATAAAGAAGTTGCAGGAGGGAAAACTAGAAAATCACAGGCAATCAGAGAATAAATCTAACTGCAGATTGGAAAAATATGGCGTCATTGGAACTATGATCTCCTATATCAGCAATAATTCAATTTGGGATCACAGAACATGTTATTCAGTATAGCAAAACTCTTACCTGTGGTGCAACCGATCTGCGAGGAATAAGTTCTTCATGACGCCGAGCACAAAATTCCCAAGACAATATCTGAAGACGTCAAGTAGATGTGAGGTGTTAAAGCAGCACTATATCACTTAGCACAAGAATCAGATGATAGTACCTCTTGTCTATTTATTTGCAGCTTACCTTCAAATCCGGAGTGAAAAGGATGCGAAGCTGACCCTCGCGAACCACGCGAAGTTGCTCATATACAGTTTCCTGAACTGCCTTTGCATACTCCAGCATCATCATTCCTGAAGGAAACCTTCGTTCACGAGGCAAGTCCAGATATAGTAGTTCGTCGAGCACCCCACAACTAAATTTAATTTTACTTAGCCTAGGAAGCACTTCATAGGTTGCCTCTGTTAAAACCAGAAAAAGATAAAATTCAGAGCACAACAATAGATGCAACTCGAATATTGAGGGACGAAAACAGAAAGAGAAAAATAAGTTTATGTATTTGATACTCCCACTGGAGTTGATCTAAGAAAAACTTTAGAACTTCTAGCTATTATAAGAAAGCAAAAAAAAAAGGAAACAGTGACGATGGGATTTTTCCATGTTGTTTCACAGTGTTGCTCTCATTTGCAGAGTCTTAAATTCTAGATTTTTATCATGATTGACTATATTTGCACAAGCTTGAAGAGATTTGTGAAGGAAAAAGACCGCATCTACGCAAATTTTTAGTCAGACAATAGTAATAAATCCGCCTTGTAGATAAGAAAAAAATTAACCAGAAGAATAAAGGAGCACATATATTGAAACGAAGTTCACGAATCAAGTTCTAGACTCTTTATGCTTTCATTTTTTTCCAATCAATTGTCAACTGAAATCTCTGTCCAACCATTTTTTATATTTATTCTTTGCAGAGGAAAAAAAGAATAAATATTAAGACAGGTACAGTAACAATTCTGTCATTAAATTGATAGATTTGAATTGCAATAACATGGAAAATCTAATTCTATGAAAGGAAAATCAAGCTCCAATAGTAATTCAGTCCAAGATTTTTACAAAAACATTTGTTAGGTTAATGATACCAAAGAAAAAAAACCAAGACCAAATACCAGCGGAATAGAATACATACATAATCTTCAGAGAGGATGAAGAAACTACGGTCCCGCGGAATATTCTAAACCATGTACAATGAACATAACTGACTTCTCCTTAGAAAAGATTGTCACAAAAAAAAAGGAAAATAGATGCAGAGACGGTCGCATTTAAGCCACATTTCATAAGCATTGAGAAAGGGACAAAACTGCTAAGATTTGTTTTACAATTACAGTGAAGTAACTGGTCATGCAGACAAAGATGGATCATTACCGTAAAATGCCTTTTTGAAGTCGCCTACTTGATTTGTTTCAGCTAAATTTAAATGAAGAATGACTAATCGCTCCATGCAACAGGCAGACACATAATATGTATTTTAAAGGTTTAAATCTCCCTCCGCCAAGTCATTCTTTATAGGTTCAACCAAGTGGTATGAATCCAGAAAAATAAGGTAATTACATAGCATAGTTACTTTCAAACTTCAAAGTCTCCTTAAATTTGATTAGAAGATTACTTAGAAAGAAATACAACAGTAGCCGGGATATAGAGTTAGAGATAAAACTCACCAAAACCCCTTCCGGAATTTGAACCACAAATGTCACACCGCCATGTATTCTGCAAAACGAAAAACAAACCAATTACAATTCATGGTCTTACAATATGCCAATCAGGGAATAACCCACAAGCATGAATCAACCAAATACCATATGTATGAATTCACGGACAGGTTTATTACAGGGGTTCTTTATAAGCTATATTGTTAAGCCAAATAATAAATGTACACAATAGTAAGAATTACCATTGCTGCCTGGGGGAACACCCCAGGCGAATGATGCCCGACGTTATCGTACATAGATACACACCACCTCTTCTTAGCACGTGGACAGTAATACTCGGCCACAAATTTTCTCCAATAGGAAATAGCATCATCCTAACATGAATCAAATACGAGAGACTTCACAACACGGTATTTAAAAAAGTTATAAAAATAAGATAGAAGATATGGAAACACAAATAAAAAAGAATGCTGATATGACCCATAAGATCATAAAAGAGAATAACTAGATAATGTCAGATGCAATTAAATTACTGACATGAGGTCGTTGTCTCTGGTGATACAAGTACTGCATTAGTCGACGTGAGCAAAGACCATCATCATAAGGTCGTTTTACTCCAGACGAAGGTGGCATCCCCTGCGCTTGAAGCTGCTGTCTTAACATAAGTTGTTGCTGCTGCTGCTGCTGCTGCTGCAAAAACTGAACCCGCTGACTTGGCGGCATAGCTTGCAGAAACTGTTGCTCTTTCTCCCTTAATCTGTGTTGGTGGATCAGAGCTTGCATTTGAGGATTGGAGTTCTGCAGGTTCATGGGATCATGTCTCTGTATTTGCTGTTGCAAAACCTGCTGTTGCACAATATCTTCATGCTTCATATCCAAGCGAGGTTTCTTATGTAGCTGATACATAGCACTTGGGTCCTGTGCGGAAGAATTGGACATCCTTGAACCTCCATGGAGTTGAACTTGCCCCATCCTTAGCAAAGATGTGGCACTAGAAGCCGCCGGATGCTGCCGACTTTGATTGAAATTTTGCGAACACGGGTCTTGGTTGGAACTCTGTTGCACAACGGAAGATCTATCCATGGCAGAATTACCAGAAATGCCAATGTTAGTAGACGAGAATGATAATGGTGATCCAGGCAAGCGCATGTAAGATTCTGTATTGATACTGGTACTTCTCTGAAGATGAGGACCTCCTGAAAGTCCGGAATTGGCATCAGTTACCAAAGAACTTGCTCCAACGCTGGGTCCTGAGCTCGTCACACTGGTCAAGACTGTGGTGCCGACACCCCCTGAAACTGGAACCGCGCTCCCACGTGCATGTCCAGGTGGAGAACTCAATGAGTTCCCAAAATTTGAACTTAATTGGGAATTACCAGCAACCAGGGGTTGGCCCTCTCCATGAGAAACTATACCCGAGGTTGAAGGTGAATGAGCCATTGCTTAAGCACTTTTAAGGTACCAATCGAGGCCCCGGTAATTGGTGCCTGAGATCCAAATAACTATCCCACTCACGACCAAGAAATCAAGAAGCGCATTGTTCTGTTCGGTAACTGTCACGTATAATAAGCAGAATAAAAGATCAGATAACAAAGTGTGAAAAGAATCCGGCATCAACCACACAAGAAAACAAATCAAAACAAAAGAGAAACTTAAAAACAGTTCTCCAGCTAGAAAATATAATTCCTAACAGAGCAAATTCCCAACTTTATTAGCAAACCCTAATTCACGACCAGTAAGATTTCAACTGAAATCGAGTAAACAAAAAAAACATATCTTCAGCAATTAAAACCCCAAATTAACGATTAATTAATCAATCAACTAATGAAAAAATTAATCAAACCAGCTAAACAAAAACCCCAACCCGCAGCCTATGAGAAACAAATTAAGAAAAAAGCGATCAAAACCAAATTCAATTCTTTCTCCTACGAGTAATAACCAGTTTTAAATTCCAGATTAAGACTCTATACATCTTCATCTTCGACCACATGAATCATAATCGGAGATCGAAAAATTCACAATTACCACCATTGAACAAGGCAAAAAAAAAAAATTACAGTTTCGTACTTCAATTGGCTACCGTAATACTTAATTCAAGTGATGAATTAAATTAAATAGAATAAAAAGGGTTCAAAGTATGCTAACCCTATGTACGAAGAGAGTGATTGAAGAAAGCTTTTTTCAGAGAAGAAAAGGGGAAAAGGCTCTGGAATGATGATCGGTGCTTATATATATCTAGCGGGAAGTAACTGCGGAGTGATTGGGTATAGCCGGTTACAATATTTAGGTGACCGGATACAGCCGGTGAGATAAGGGATGCCTGTTCTTTGAGAATTGGGGCTATGGTTTTATAAAACCTACACTGAAATACACGGTGTAAATTTATATATCATTATATAAATATATATAATAGTAATTAAAAACTTATATCTGTTTGGGTATTAGTAATTAGTGAATAGTTATTTATGTGGATCTGCCGTTCGTAGATATATTTTTCGATGCAGAATAAGAAAGTAAATAACAAATGTAGATAGGTTTTTTGGATATTTTTTTAATTTAGGTTATTGTAATTTTCATTACAATAATTAGACTTATCTCTAGGGCTCAAAGTATTGTATATTATGTTAGGACCCCAAAAACTATATTTATTGCAATTAAGGCCTCCAAATATGCTTTTTTTTTCTTTTACATTTTTATTTATATATATATACACACACACGCATGGAGCTCAAATTTTATAGAAAAGTATTACCCAAACAATATTTACTATTATATTAAAAAAAAAAAGGGCCCTAAATTATATTTTATTTTTTTAAAAAGGCCTAAATTTGATACCATAGGTTGTTCAATATAATGTGCAAGAGTAGTCTAAAATTTTACAAAAGGAGCCCCTAAAGCTAAGTGGTCTTTTGGGCTTAAGCCCATAATGGTATATAGATTTCAACTTCCCCTTGGGCCAATTGGGATGAGTTTTTGGGTGTATAAATAAGAATTTCTATATATTTAATCCATGAATAAAATTAATTAATAATTCGATAGCTTATTAATTTTATTAAGTGTATATTACAATTGGATAATCATAATTTTTCTTTTTTTTTTTTTGAAAAAGGAAATCATAGACTAATTATATAACTGCAGTGGATAAACCTTCGTTTGCGGTCACTTATAAATATATCATAGTTACTTATATATATGTAATAGAGAGGTTATTAATTCATTGATTACTAATTTATGTGCATTTTAATTTGCTGAACTAACCTCCTTTCTATCTTGTTCTTAGTGAATTCTCTAATTGTATGTTTTCATTTTCAAAAGACATCTTTTTTTTAATCCATTTTCATTATATAAATATAATTTCTGATTAAATCAAATATTTATTACAATCTAAAAATGATGGGACATAAAATTGAGATTGCAACTAGTTTTTGTCCTTTTTTTTCAATTTAAAAAAAAGTATTTTGTCTTTTTTTAAAGCCTTTTTCTATGTAGCTATGTGGTAAATAATTTTTCCACTGTCGGTACAAACAAATTGATAAGAGTGTCGGTAGACAATTTTGTTGAAATTGTACTATCAATTTTATTATATATATATACAGTATATAAATATAGATCAATTCAAAGTACGGAGTAAGAAATTTTTGGTGCCTTTTCAATGTTTTTGTAGTTGTTGATGATGATTGGAAATAAATAAATTGGGTCGGCTGTTTTAACTTTTTAAGTTTATTTTTAATTATGTAATACAATAATTTTAGTAATAAATAATCATAAAGTACAATATAATATTTTGACTATGTTCTTGGCTGGCTAAATTTTTACAAATTGATGATGGAAATAAAATTTTGGATCATGGGTGTTTAAAAAATGTAAATCATGGGTTCACATGTAATTTTGGATAATTAGAGTTGTTCTAAAGTGAAGACATTTTTCATGTTAAAAAAAATAAAAGGAAATTTTGATGTAGACTGAAAAGTGTCACTTTGGTCCCCCAACTTTAGACTTTCTTTACTTTTATCCTCAAAGTTTGAAATTATGAGGTTCAAATGATTTGCTCTCTTCATTTTTTATAATGGGACAAATTACTGGCACTTTCTTGAGATAAGGTTAAATTATGAGAAAAAAAAATTCTTATTCATCAGGTAAATTTAACACCGTAAGAATGAACGTGTAAGAAAATATATAGTTGAATGAGGTAATTGTAACTATCCAAACAAGATGATTTTTTTGTAATTTGATTTTACCTCAGCGGCGAACTTAATTTTTACTAATTTTATATGGATATTAAATAATTCATGTTAATTTATTTTGCAAGTAAAAGTTCATGAATAATGTGCAAAACATTTGCTAGTGTAGGGGGGGCCAAATGTCATTTACCCTACTTTAAATAGTTGAAATTTAAATAATAATAATAAATAAATAAATAAAAAGGATTCAGAATATGAACATACGTGTGGGCAAATTAACTTCGGCCTATGGAAGATAATCATCACACTTTAATTATGTTGATTAAGAGGTCTATTTTGGATCCCCACACTAATAATTTTGACAAGAGATATTAAAGTTTAAACTAATCTCCTAATCACAATTAATTTTTAAGACCATCATCATTTGAACATGATACTCATCAAGGTTTATTTCTTTTTTAGGGTACTAGGATAAAAAAAAAAAATTACACAACTAATTATCCATTGTTTTACTCTCTTCGTTTCTAAATAGGTATCGTTTACAATAAGTATGTATTGATTTTATAAAAATAGATACTGTTAGACCGAAATACCCATGTTACTAATTAACGCAAAAATATTATTGGACAGTTAATAATAAGAGTATAATTGAAAAATATATAATTAATACAATATTGAAATTGTAAAGTGACGGATGAAATGGAACAAAAAATTCTAAAAAAGACAAATATTGGGGAACATATATAGTAATACTTGAGATTGAGTGGATAGAAACGTAAATAAATTGATATTATCATACTTGATTTATTATGTTAATTTTTTCTTTAAAAAATAACCATTTTCTCCTATAGTGGGCCAATAAATTCGTAGTCTAAATTAATTATTCTGAATTAGGTGAAATTGAACAATTGAATAACAACCATCACTATCATTTAAAGCTGGATTTTCATTTTCTATATTAGCTGTTGGCTTCTCATTTTCATAATATGATTTATTATTCATTATTTCTATTTCAATTTGGCCATTGAAGAGACTTTTCACCAATACTGGTTAGGAAGTGCTAAT